TTTCGGGAGTCGGATTGCGTCTGTGTAAACAGTGAAGCGAGATTTGTTTTTGCGTAGTGTTCAAAAGCGTTATTTTTGGTCATATTCTGTAGCAATTTGCTTTTACATGTTTGATTTTTAGCTGAGCCTATTATCTGTTGATGTTTGTAATGTCTTTTGGATAACTTTATGTCCAGCAGTAGATGGAAAAAGAGATAGTAATGATGATCATTCCATTGTCCCTCTGTTGCTATATCTAGCAACCATTTCTGGGGCCCGTCGGTGAGTTGGCGAGCCTCCGCCTGCTATTTTTACGTGGAATACTTACATTGTTTCGGCAGGTGCCATGGTCATCCATAGTTCCCTTTAATTCCATTATCCACAATAGTTCTACACTCACCGAAGACTGTCCTTGGGAGCATTTCCATAGTGCATACAGGGATATTAACCGGTTTGTGTGTTCATTACATTTAGAATTAAGTTGTCTAAAGTGCCTCTATGCAGTTGGCTTCGGGCCCTAGTATGCGTCCCAAATGACCGGGACCCTATGGTCCCGTGATGGTAAAGGCATACAAATGATAATAATGTTTATACAATACAGATACTTCTAAAAGATCAAAACTTCCGATTTACCTACCTTGGTAGCAAATGTAATAAAAGATAATTGACCATAATAAACAAGGAAACTTTAGACATCCACTGTTTTCCCTTCTTATCTCACAGTTCATATGGTTCAACAAACAAACGATACTTGCATATAATCAGATAAGCAAACATGCATGTTTGCCAGTTTAAACTGTGCTACATAATATATGGGACTATTAGTTTAACCAACTTATAAAAAAAAAACTTGAAAAATCTAGATTGATAAACGAGCACAATGTTTAATTAACTTTTCTTTAATGTTTGTCCATCTGACAGACTGTATTTGCACTACTTAAGAATGTCAAATTTATCTAGACAAAGTAAATTAAAACAATGTTTATTTCTTGCAATGACTACCCAATATTAAGCTCGGGAGAAGTAGGTGTACTATTACAGGTGTTCTGCCTACACTTTTTCGGAATAAAAATAGTGCACCTAATAGTGTCTATTCAGTCAAAAACTAGATAGTGAAATAGCATTGATCATAAAGCGTAGGTCACATTACTAGTAAATTAGCGGGTGAGCATCATTTCACCTTACTTCACTTACCTAACTTCATCGCGAACACCTAGCTAGAAAGTCGAGTTTACCACCTAAACTCGCGAACGGATGGCCTGATTTCGATGCAGTTTTTCACATGAAACCGAACCTTGTTTTTATTATTCATTCCATGGCTAACATAACTCGACTTTCTAGCTAGGTGAGCTAGAAACTAGAAAAACTGCATCGAAATCAGGCCATCCGTTCGCGAGTTTAGGTGTCACAGACAAATATTGGCATTAAACTATGTAGTAACACCAGTCTTTTTGAATCTGAGATGCAAAAGCGGACGAACATGACGAAGGAGAAAATTAGCTTCTTCGATACCCTATTCGCGATCCTGAAGCCGTCGGCCAAGCATGGAGCCTATGGCAAGACCCTCGCCTCAAACGAGCCGTATTTTTCGTAGTGGACATCTTCCAAGATATGACGATATAAGTATCAAACAAAGAAGGTGAAACAATACACACCTCAAACTAACTCGTTTGCTATCTAGTCTAGTGTGGCCAAAGCTTTAAAACTTTCCATTTCACAGTGTGTGGTCTCGCCCTGCCACATTTGACAGTTGAACGACTTCACAAAGAAAGCTGACGAAACAATGAAAATAGTGAACTGAATCAAAACTAACATTTCACTGCATTAGTCAGACAGACAGAATTATTTTTATCTGTCATTCGAAAGATTATTTTAATATAATTTTTATCTTATTATTTCGCGAATTTTTAATGATAATTAGGTATATGCTTGCTGCATAGTTATAGGTCAGACAATGATTAGGATTTACAAAACATGATTTATTCAAAAAAGGCCAAATATCAACTCTCGACTGGATTTGAAGTCTAAGGTCAACTTGTGATGTAACTGCCTAATTAGCACAATTTGGTAAAAACAAGTAGAAAATTGTTATTTTGAGTATTCATTAGGAAAAATTACAATAATGCCCATGTACAGGCATTACACAAGTATTATTAGTTAATATAACATTTTATTTTCATGGTTGTAAAATGTTCGAATCGAAATAATAAATTTATATTAATAATAAATCATTTATCATAATGCCTGGTTCTTATTTTCTACCTATTGCCACAGAAAATGTTAAAATTTTCCCTTTGATAGTACTTATGTACAATATTTATAGCATAAAATTCTCACATGAGTGCTAATTTTAACATCAAACTGGACAGGCGAGGATAATTGATATTCTATTTAAAGTTTAAGTGTACATTCCTCATTATTGTTTACCCGTACCATCTATGGATCACATCGCACAAACATGAAACAGATGAACTCAATCACAGTCAACAGTTTATGGGTTTGGGGTATCACAGAAACGATTCCATTAATATAATTTGTTTGACATAAACATGACATCACAGCTTTAATACCACAAGGTCAAATGTAGCTGACTTTTAATCAGTTACATTTTTTAAAGTTAAAGTCCAGTTACAACCACATTGTAGAGGTATGATCTATAGTGCTTTAATCCATATATCCCCAAGCGGTCACCGGTGACCGCTCTCCACTTACTACATTATAGACTTCATTTCCAATGTTTAAAGACTACTTTTGTATGAACAAATGTAGGGGATGATTTTTAACAATTTTCAATGGGTTACGTTGTTCTAAGTTATCTACATATGTAGCCCAGAAATGTACAACATTATATTACAACATCACAACTAGTTTCCGAATAACACACCAAAGAAGTTCGCACTTCCCAGTAAATAGTTACTGGAAAGTACCAACTGTGCAGTCTAAGTGAATCAAAAGAACTGAAAGGATCTCAATTATATTTTCCCTAGAATTCGAACTCACAACGCCCAACACGGCAGTGATTTCAATGATCAGGAACAAAGTAATACAAACAAATGTTCACATCTCTCTTACTATGAGTAACATGTCTATGTTTGAATATGTGCCAAATTGTATTTTCACAATATACTGAGCTATTATTTTTGCAACATTATTTCAAACAACGCTTATTGGTTGTATAATTTATTTTAATACTTAAGTTACTTATTAATTATTCAAATAAGTAAGTTAAGTAATGAAAAGATTTTTTTTTCATTTCTTCAACAGTAATAATAAATCTAAAATAATGTTTCAACTTACCAATTAAAGGTTTCTTTTCAGATTGTTAAAGTGAAAAATTTTATACATCAATAAAAAGATGACTAACTTCTCAGAAACAGTCAATTGATCTTCAAAGATTATAATCATTGCCAGAAGATTTCCTAATAAAGTAGGTAATCTAGAAGAATAAACTTAGCCACTGGTTTTTATGAACATTATGAACAAATGTTGAAGGTTATTAGATATTAAAATCCGTGTTTAATTAAGTCTTAAGTATCATACTGTGTTGGTAGCTTTTCGTGTGTCTAAATGCAATTCCACATGAGACAAAATGTATTTTCTATAGTGCCTCATATGGGTGCACTCAAGTGGAACCAATACTTTAAAGTATCTTTACAAAGTTGTATATGTAAAGTTTAAAACCTTCTTTTTCAGTTCATTAACCCATATTAAACTGTCAAACACCAAGCGGTCACCGGTGACCGCGACCTATTGTTCTTTAATTGTGTCTATAAAACCGGTACTCGACGAGTTAATTTTAATATGAAATTCAAGCCTTATTTATCTTATTGATCCCTGTGAATCAATAAGACAAGTAATAGAAAAATGACAATAAATATGTATCCTGCAGGCTACATGACATTCATTTTAACTGAATAGTTGAAGTCTATCCCTCATCTAGTAATTTAAAGATTAATGTGTAAAAGTGTGATTTTGTAACCTTTTGCACAAATAAACATCATTTTAAATATTATTTCATTTCAATTATTCAATTAAAATAAGTATACAGCCCATAGCTAAATTTACACCAACATATTTAATTTCATCTAAAACTCATAACAGATAACATATGGCACTGATTACTCTCAATAACTATAAACTGACTGTGTAAGATGAAGTGTGCACTAATAAAACTCCATACTAGTAGCCTACGATAAACATCTGGCGGTTTCATGGTACTCACAAACCAAATTAGACTTTATACTTGAGAAGTAGGGTCTATATTGATAGATGATTATGTATTTGGTAATGTAAACTAAGGGACAAGAATTTAAAATTGATTAATTTATGGTTACAAGCTGTTGAATTATTGTGATGCAGGATTGTGTTCCAATTTCAAAATATTTGAATTGTAGATTATTAATTTTGTATTCACAGATAAAAAAATAACAATTTACTGTGTAGAATAATTAAAAATATTAATTTACAAAAAAATTAATACTACACAATGAAGAAACATAAAAGTTTTATGATTTTTAGTCCAATCATAAATATTATTCTAATTAAATAGCTATTCTGTTTAGTCTTATTGGTACACAAAATTCTATAATAAAAGTTTATAATATGCAGATATTTCACATAAAATTGGTATGTAATGTAAGAATGATTGCATGTCAATTATTTAATTTAACTTTTGTGACTATTCTTAAAAGAATTAGCTACTACTCAAATAGGTAGTTAGTGTAATTCCAGACTAATGTCTTTTTTATTTACGATTGTAGAATAGACTACATTTTTAAATAAAAAAATAATTATGTGCCAGAAACTTCTAAAATTCATAATCAATACGAGACAAATTTATGCCGCGAAGTGGCAAAAAATTATGAATAGCTATGTTTTGTACCTACAAATGTATAAAAATGAATAATTGGCATGTATTCTTGTAATTACGAATTGTTTCAGACATGACTCGTGTGAAGGACGTCAACAGGTGTCATGAGAAGTCAGAGAAAATGATCGAATTCGGGGTCATGAGAACTTACTCTGTTCGTTAGAGGCTGCGACCGCAGAGTCGCTCATAAACGACCCAGTCCGCACCACGGGACCCCACTGCTGTCTTCTGCCACTGTCTCTATTTTCTGTCTTCTCCACATCTTCCGCTTTACACAGATGAAAAGCATATACGCACCAATATAACACGAAACCGATACGCATCGTGATCTCACAATGACACTATTGCATTAACCGCACACAAAAATACAAAATCACCTCAGTAACACCGCACTCAATACACATTCTAAAATAATATGCAGACAAATGGTTTATAGTTTTTAAGGCCACATCACAAGTTCAATGAAAAAACATAAAAGCTACGATTTTTTATCACAGAAAGAAAAACTAGCGAGGTCGAAAAACTTTGACATTTGTATTTGTCGTGTGGCAACATTGGTAGGTTTCGTTTGACACGATGACGTTTGTGAAATAGTCGATAAGTCGATTATTTTAGTTTATTACTAATTGTTGGAGTGTGGAGTTTGCGAAATCATTTGAACGCACCCATTATTATTTACCAAAATATGTCAAATGACCTTGCCAGTTTGTAAACAATACCTTGAAGAGCAACTTTTGATACAAATTATCTAATTTCCTTGTTGTTTATTTCACATATCGTCGTATGTTATTGAGTTATTCACGTTTATAGTGTTTTATGTGTGTTAAATCATAAAAATGAATATTGATTTTGAAGCCATGGCTGTTTTGGAAGAGGAATCACAGAATGTGAGTAGCGAATAATTTCCTTTGTTACGCTTGTTTACTATGTTAGTATATTCTATTTATGATCACTGCTCGTGTTTTTTCTAACAACAATGTTGTTTAGGTGGCGATCCAAACAGATCCAATGGGTATTGGAATTACAATGAGTTTCGTGTATGTTGATGTAATATCAGCTTATTTGGTTGACAGGGGTTCATTAAATCTATTTTCTAAGATTCTATTGCACAACAAGATGTACAGTTTCGTCATGAGTGCGTTGTGTTATGCTGTGTAATAACATTTAACTGTTAATGGTAATGCTGTAAAACAAACAAATATGTGGGATGAAAACATTAATAAGATGTTATCAGCTGTGTTTACTATGAACATGTGGAGTGGTTTATTATGACATTCAACATGTCTACCACATATTTGGCATTACTGCCTTTTTAAATACCAAGGTCAGACCTTTTAATTCCAATTAGGTACAGGATTTTATTCACTCAGTAAATAGACATCTAATACATAGAATATGGGATTGCAAACTCTGTGGCATTAATTTCAAGATTGAATATTGATTAAAAGTTACCTAACAGTGTAATTTTATACAAGTGTGTTCCCTATCAAAGAGCTTCATTTCTTTGTGTTTAAAAATAGTTATCATGTTAATTAACATTCCACGAAAATGGCATTTGACCTCTTATGTCTGACACATATAGATTACATTAGTTTGCAACTCTAAACAATAATTACTATTAATTGTGTTTCGTTCTAATCGAATAAGTAATAATACTATTGTAATGGCAGTTTTATTTTATATAGAATTAATTTTGGTGATAATTTGATTCATTCGCACATTGGTGTGGTATGATAGTAAGTTACATTATTTCTGTAATCTGTTTTGAAGAAGGATTAATTCTATAATCTACATGGTTAAAATGTAAACAATTCATATAGTCATATTGATAAAACGTGTTTTGAAAGTCATAATTTCCTGACTTGCATCTATTTTTAAACATTTTTATCTGATTAGGTAAAAAATAAAGATAATGTGAAAACATTATATTCAATCAATAAAGCCGCAGCTAGCGCCATCTACTACAACGTATAAACATTATACTTACCTTGAACGCAGCATTCTGAAGGCTCCTTGTAAGTTTGAATTGAAAAACATAGATGGCGTTATAAGTTTATTCTAACGCTAGGTGCATACCTAGCGTTATTGTTATATTTTGTGAATTTGTTTACGATTGAAAAAATTGTATAATTATTGTATTACGGCATTCTAATTGTTATAAATAAGAACTTTTGTTATTTGACCTGTCTTCGTTGTTTGTTGTCATGGGAAGGTCTGTCTCAAAATGTTGATAGGAAAGGGTAGGCAGAAGTGCTACTTAGACCCATAAACTGTTACAGTAATCTACAACATAATACTATACCATCTCGTAAAATATGAAGGTACTGGAAGGTCTGAAACGAAATTCTCAATAAAAAAATCAAACAGTTTTCTCAACCTGAGATTCGTACCCAGCTTAATCTACGCTTGCAACTACCTACAATGGCGCGTTATGACAATTCAACCTTAGTTGTAGGACCAAATAAATTTTATCCAGCATAGAATAGGTAGGGTAGATAACTAATTTTTATTTTAATGTCCGTCTGGTAGATTATTTAAAAACATTAGACACGTATTTTTAATTTTCTTACAGAAACGAATAGTTTCGAAGATATATTGGTTTGAAGTATCGCATGACGTCACTTTTGAGTACGATTTATACTTTAAAATGACGTAGCTACCTCTCACTCCTAAACTTTGATTTCGTTTTATCTAAGTATTATACGACAAAATAAAAAAATACGTGTCTAATATTTTTTCATTACCTAACTGACTAATTAGATTTTTAATTTTCATACCCTGTCATCATCATCATCCCTATTATTAATATATAAGTATTCTGTCACACCGCGCACCGATATAAATCATCGTATCAGCAGATCAGCTACTAAATAGCCAGACAAGCCTCTCAGACAGACAGACTGACAGACAGATCGGCCGGTTGAAAGCAACCAATGTAAATAACAAGGTTTAACTTCATACACCATGTCCCCAGCTGAGCCTTCACACCTAACCAAACACTGAACACGTTTATCTATAGAAAACATGTCCGTAGACAAGTCGCCGTTGTATTCTAGTGTTCCCCGCTTAACAACGTCCTGATAAGATAAGTAATCACTTAGCTCCAACTGCTGTGCGTACCCAGTTGTTTTGCAATGCAATGTTTTATTTTATTACTAGCTTTTACCCGCGGCTTCGCTCGCGTCACAAAAATATAAAAAGTAGCCTGTGACATATACCAATACACACAGCGCCATCTATACCAATTCTTTTGTTTTCCCTCAGGAATATCAAATTTTTCCAGGATAAAATGTACCCTATTATTTAATCCGGACTTCTAACTTTACGTCTGCAAAATTTCAAAGCAATCGGTTTAGTAGTCACGGCGTGAAAGCGGAACAAACAAACAAACAAACTCACTTTCCGATTTATAATATTAGTACCTAAGGATTAGTAAGGATAGTAACAGTAAGGATTGTTCACTAAATTCTGCCCGCGACTTCGTACGCGCAATCCCGTTTTCTCCCGTTCCCGAAGGATTTTCAGGATTTTTTCTGTCTTAAGAACTTTCTCCTAATAATAATAAATACAACAAAAAATAATTAGTGAAATCGGTCTAACCATTCTCGCACGATGCCGTGATATTATGATGCCTAATTGCCTAGTCTCTACTCGAATAAAGAATTATATTCTATATAACAACGTATTTATTTACTATGTTAACTATAATTATGTGTGTTTTCACGTGTAAATCTCTGATCCAAATTTTGATACAATTTCGTACAGTGATTGATAAGTAAGAAAGAAAGAAAAATAGTTTATATGCACACCGTCACAAAGTACAATAACACACAAAAAAATTGAACAGTGAAGACGGCGCAAAAAGGCCAGAGCTCAGAGGCTAGTACGAGTTTATTTTTCGTTTAAAGTAATAGTAACAAGTACGCGTTCGGCGCTGTGATTGGCCGGCTCTAATGAACCAATCAATCAGAGCACAGAGTGCCAAGCACGAATAACTATCGCTTTCGTAACGTAATAGTATCGACCGCGTTCGGCGCTCTGATTGGCCGGCTCAAGTGAACCAACCAATCAGAGGGCCAAGCACGTATAACTATCGCATTCGTATCGTAACAGTATTGAGCGAGTTAAGCGTTCTGATTGGTTGGTACACTTGAGCCGGGCAATCAGAGCGCCGTACGCGCTCGATACTACTACTTTACGAATGCGATAGTTATTCGTGCTTGGCACTCAGAACGCTTAACTCGCTCGATACTGTTACGATACGATTGCGATAGTTATTCGTGCTTGGCCCTCAGAACGCACGCCGTCTCGTTTCGATTACTTTAAACGAAAAATAAACTCGTATTATGGCTTCAGCTTAAATGCCGTGACCCAAGTGCATTCGAGTCGCGGCGCTGATTTTCAGCACTAATATGAATGACTGTAACTGGAGAATGGTAAAAGAAAACCCTGGAGACGGTTACAGATTAATTTGTAAGATAATTGCGCCAACATCACATCACATTAACAGAGTATGAGTGCCCACTGCTGAGCAAGGCCTCTTCTCACAAGCAAGGTTTGAGCATTAAGCACTACATACGTTTTCATGTCTAAACGGCTCATCTGATGCAGTTTCTTACAGAGATAGATAAGACTTTGAAGAGAATAGGTAACAGATTATTTTTGCGCGACCACCGCATTTGCTTAATACTTGTAACACAACGCACTTGTAACACCAGATACAGACCATGCAGGAAACTATTAATTTCACCATCGCTTCCGGAGAAAAGGGCTTCCCAAAATTGATGGCGCCATCAAACAATGTTTTGGGCATACGAAATTTTCACGTACCAGATGAAACGTAGTAACATTACGTCACCATTACTCGCTGGTATTCTGTGAGAGAGTGGCACTTCGCTTCTCCGGTTGAGCCGGCCCATTCAACTTGCATATTCGGCTAGATTCTACCTAAGTACTATATCTCCGGAACTACAGGTCCGGATTTGAATATTAATAGTGGAAAATCATCACAAGAAAAACTGGTATTAACTGCGAATTCTTACCCACTTAACTCTGAGTACCGTATTTATAGACACAATTAAAGAACAATAGGTTGCGGTCACCGGTGACCGCTCGGTGTTTGACAGTTGACCTTGCATATCAAAAAAATAAACCGTAAAACAAAAATACTGATTTGCACACTAATTGTTCAATATTAGGTTAGGTTTTTTTTGTTGTTTTTATATATTTTGTTGCACTCGAAGAATTATTAGATTTACTTTTAGTTAAAAGATAAGTAGTCAGATTCAGTAAAACAGTTAAGCTTTAAAGATCTAACAGTATAGTATAATTGATTTATTTGATGAGAAAATTTAGTGTGCAATTCAGTATTTTTGGTGGTAATTTGGTGGTAAACAGGTAATATAACATTATAGATTCGACTTTGAGCATTACATTAAAAAAATACCTCCCTGATTATCGAGCATTTGTGTGTAATGTAACATATAGATTCGACTTTGAGCATTACATTACAATAATACCTCCCTGACTACCGAGCATTTGCGTGTAATGTAACAACAAGCACTTGCGTGTAATGTAATATATTGATTCGATTTTGAGTATTTCATAGCAAGATGTCAGACGAAGCGGGCGGGCGGGGGCTGGAGGAAATAGAGCGCATTGATGTTACAAGTTGTATCAAGATATTACACATTGTATCATTACAAGGTGCGCATTGTAATACTCGGTTCTCCTCCTTCACTGATGTAATGCTCAGATCTGTAACGTTACATTACACGCGAATGCTCCCGGTGAGATGCACATAGCAGTGACGTCAAGCGACATTTCAAATCAATATGTCGTCGATAGTATTCGATCATGTAAGAAAATAAAAAATGCATGTGTAATGTTTTAAAATAATCTATCAGACAAACATTAAAATAAAAATTAGGCATCTACTCTATTGTTTAAGTTATGCAAGTCGTTTCATTCATAATTTCTTATTTAAAAAACATCTCATTTTAATTTACAATGCAGTTTAAGTATAATTCTTTATTAGATATAGTTTTGCGAATCATGTAAGGATAGTAGTAAAATAAAGTAATTAACATTAAATTGCAAAGTATAATTTGTTCAGAACATTCATGTTTACTAACATTCTATCTTTATCTTTACGACCTCCTCTTTTATGAGTAGGTAGGTACATTAAGTACATATGTACCAGACAGGTTTATAATGAGTAATCTTAAAAATCACTGCCTCGTTGGTCGAGTTGTTGCAAGTACGCCTTCCGACCAAGATGTCTTGGGTGCGGTTCTAGGGTCGGGCAAAGTATTACAAGGGGTTTTTAAAAAAAGGGGTAAAAGGCGCGATGTATTGTGAATCTGAAAAACGTTCCACACAAAAATTTGTTTACGATTTCTTTCTAAAAGACTTATTTAAGGGGAAGATTAACTTGTATAGTTAAAGCGTGCAAAGCCACGGGCAAGAGCTAGTGGTACAATAACACGCAGTTTTTCCCCTTGCAACTTGGACATTACCTTGGCGTGTCAATTATACTGCGCAGTAATTTAGTGGAGTGCCTCTTGATGCGTGAAGAAAGTTCCGTTTTTGTTCCAACGCATAGAAAATTGTTTGTTAAGGTATTGTCAGCTAATTAGGTAGTACCATAAATAATTGCATACTAATTTATTCATGGCAAAAGTAATCATGGCATGAGAGACAAATAAAGAAGCTCTGATTGAAAAAATCTTTTTTTTTGATGACGGGGGAAACCTTTAAAAGCCAGAATTAGAGTGTGGCTCACTAAAACCACCCTGGTAGCCACCCTTAGCATCTGTAAGGGCACCAGGTCCTCTGAAAGAGCAGAGGGGTTGCTCCGGAAACCCTACGATGCAACGCTTGTTACAACACGTATGAAAAATACCCAGTTTGTAATTTAAATATTTTCTATGTCGGATTCTGTAAGAACATCGGACAGCCTACAGGGTGTCCCTGATATCGACGATCACAAGGTACCAACAGTTATCAGTAAAATATAGAAAAAAATCCAAGTCGTATAGTTTTTAAATTATAGTGACCTCTGTGTTTTCCACGAAAAAGTACACCCTGTGCCAGTCTTTTGACTCTTGTTGCTACAATCCTTTATTTTTTATCTGTATTTTTGTTTACCTTATCCTAAATAGAGCTTCAGTATTATGGAATCATAAATTCGGGGCCAACTACTTTTATTTGGAAAAGAATATCATTTTTTGACGAAACAAGTATTCACAATAAACTTTTCATTATATGAGTAGGTAGAATATCCTAATAATCCTTACTAATATCCTTACTTCCTTACTAATAATACGGAAAGTGAGTCTGTTTGTTTGTTTGTTTGTTCCGACTTCACGCCGTAACTACTAAACCGATTGCATTGAATTTTTGCAGACGTAAAGTTAGTAGTCTGGATTAAATAATAGGGTACTTTTTATCCCGAAAAATTTTATATTCCCGAGGGAAAACAAAAGCATTGGTATAGATGGCGCTGTATGTATTGGTATATGTCACATAGGCTACTTTTATCCTTTTGTGACGCGAGCGAAGCCGCGGGTAAAAGTTAGTTACATATAGTGGAGACTAGGTATTACTTTGTTCGACCCATTTATAAAATGGATGATGTCATCCCACATGTCTTGGTGATTTCTATAAATTTTTATGACCATTATGACTAAATCTAAATCTGAAATCTAAAATGTCTATACGACAATTTAGACTTGGACCTACGCAGCGTAAATGTGCTAAAAATATTAACATGGTAACTACGTTTAGTCCTCAGGTAATTAATGTCATTTTTAGTCTAGATTTGTATGACCTCATTTTAAAACTGAGTATGTATATGAACATTAACTTCCTCAGTCCTTGTTAAGATACTCTCCATCTGTTAAGATTAACGTCGCAAATGGATAAGCAAATGTGTTCCATTTTCTCGTTTTACACCAAAATTAAAACATTATGGGACAAAATGTCCAATTGCAAACTTTCATACTTTGATTCTAGACGGCATTAAAAAACTAATTGAGATCAGATAAATCAATATACGTAGTACCTACTTTTTCAACTCTGAGTTCAAATCTGAAAACAAAGTGCTTGGTGATTGATTAGCTCACCTAATGCGACTAGTGCTAGTATTCGCGCATGCACTAGTATCGTTCACAAAACTTATCTACGTGTCTTTTTCCAATTAGAATTTCCTATTGTAATTAAAGCCAGAATAAGACTGTTCACATTATAAACCTTAAGTTAGCCTAATTCATTATTGGATTAAATAGACGTAAATAGTCTTAACTGCATTTTTGCACGTTGTCCTTCACGGTTGACCTAGGTTAGTTTCTGCGTAATACGGCTCAAGAAACGCAGTACTTACTACGCAGCAACGAATTCGACCGAGCCACTATTAGCTCCTGCGGTGTGGCGATCAAGTACGAATTTAAGACATTCAATGAAATGTCTGGATATTTGTTTATTTTTAAATATTAGCGAGTAGTTGTAGAGTTGATTTGATTTCCGCATAACTTGAAAGTAGTAGATGTAGGTCAAGTTTGATATAGTAGTTACAACTTTGTTATATTTAGAACGGGGTAAGCACGCTTTAGATATTTGTATCGATCCTAAAAGGGCGTGGTTTTCAATATGCATTGCTGTAATACGTAGTTGTAAGTAACTACAGGTACGGGAGATAAAATATTTCGTATTCACTCAGATGTCCTGAATACAGCAGTTCGATATTCAGGCGCATGTCTGATGGAAATGGGTCTCCAATTAGTGCGCTGCGTTAGTGATCCCTGCCTCGATGCACCTAGCCCGGCCAGTTCCCCGCCGGTCACCGGACTAACTGCATGTCAAAATGTTTTCCGAATTCCCTTAGGTATTGATTGTTCAGTTTTTAAGCTATCGTTCAACTTCTATCGGTTTTTAATGAAAGGTGACAAAAGAAAGCGCCAAAAGAAAAAAGCGGTAAGTTTTAAATTTAGTTCATTGTCATTGTGTAGCTAGACTCGGTTTCAGCTATGTAATATGGGCCAAGTAGTTCTTCAATGCATCGTCAGCGGTTTTGCAGTATAGTTCTGAGAAGTATTAATGTATAGAATATCGCGACATGGCGCTGTAGGTAAGTACGTCTTTATATTGCACTCACTGTTACCGAGTGCAGCCAAACGATAAGGTCACTTTGCACAAGGTGGGGAGGGCTACAATACGAGCCGTTGCGACACGTCTCGACCGCTGGTTGTGCGACTCGCTGTAGTCTGTCTGTCTGTACCGATCCATTGCCGATTTAAAAAGTTGTTTTTAAAAATAAGAAGAGTGAACGCGCGCGGTCGTTCCCACTGCGCAACGCGACGCGGCGCAGCCAGTGTGCGTTGAGGCAGTCGCTGGGGCGGACACGACACTCCGATATCAACATAAATCGTAAGTAACTAAACATTTATGTGGACATTGTTGTGAGAAAAGTTATTTACATTATTATTTTATGGACACCGGTATATTTTATTTGTGTGTATTCAGTGTTATAAGTGTTTCAAGTCGGTATATTTTAGGTTAGGAATTGACAGTTACTACGCCGCACAAAATGAACATCGTTTGACGCGAACGAACGACGCAGTTTGCTTGGTATCGGCCGGCCTTTTGTTGCTAACCGAGAAACAAAACTAACTGCGTATTTACTTATTATGATATTTATTGTTACACGCCGGAGTAACTAATGGCTCATTTTATATTAATTTAATACTTTATTCTTAATCAGTGTCCTAATAGGTAAGGTCATGGTCTTTGAAACTAATGCATTTAACAAAGTAATGGAAAGTTTACATATTTCCATACAGTCGTAATATATTAAAAGCTCGCAAAATATTACACGAGTGTATTTTTATAGTTAGATACAAGCAGTGTACAAAATATTTATGCAATCATTTATATTTGTTTATCAACATTGTATAAATGTGATAACAAAATTAGTGACAATGTTGACCAACTTTTAATCTATAGGCAGACTCAAACATGTGTGAGAATGTCTAACATTAATTCTTGGTATAATTTTTCAGCTGTACGGAAATATTCATTTCCATTTTCATAAAATAAATGCGGTCTTTGTTACGTATATCACTATACAAGCTCAAATATGACTGAAACATTAATAAATCACTTATGTATTACGTATAATAGTAAATGGCTCGACATATATTTTTAGAATTTGTATAATTTACGGTTATAATATATATATTTGTGAAACTTTTTTCTGTGTATTCAAACAAAAAAAGAAACCATAGCCGGTATGTATTCAATGCTCCAATTCCGTATAGTAAACATAACATGTGTTGGCAATTGTTTGATCACATTGATTTTTAAAACGCAATACGTTCAGCGTTACTATTAATAGCAAGCAGTTAAGATTACCGGCACCGATTACTTAGTACTGTGTATGTAACACGTATGAATACTGGGATTAAATGCCTGTGTCTTTTACATAACATAACATCGCACCTTTTAACCCCGAAGGAGTAGGCAAAGGTAAAATGTAACACCCACATTTCACTATTTTATGTTATGAGTGCCATGTAATAGGGGGTTAACCTATTGCTATATAACAGCCCAATTCCAGACTTTGTGCTACTACTGAGAAATTAAAAAACACCAGTAATTCTTTGCTCGATCCTTGCCCGGCCTTCGCATTTGCAACCACTGTCAACGAGGCAGTCTTAAGATTGTAAACTACAAACTTTGTTTATACAAAGTCTTGGAACCGTCAATTTTGTTCACACTATAAGTCATGCCGGTCTATCGTTTAAAAGTGATAATGTTTCAAATCTTTTAACGAATCTTACCTCTGTGGTCAATGGGGCTAATAACATAACAAAAGGTAGTGAAAGTGATAAACAGGGAGACTTCTGCCTATCTTTTTGGATTATACCTTCCTAGCTGTTGCCTGTAACTTCGTCCGCGTAGAATATGATTCCTATTTTATCCCATGGGAGCATTTAATTGGGATAAACAGCCTGTCTTCTAAGTCAGTCCACACCCTGCCTGTATACCAAAAAATATCAAAATCCGTTTAGTAGTTTCAGCGTGATTGACAGACAAACATCCAAACAAAGAAACTCGTCGCGGAGAACCTAACGGGTAACCGGGGCTCCGGCTCGACGTGCAGGAGAAGGAACGGGGTGGTTTTTAGTCAGTAAGAGTCTGACACTCCCTTCCGCCTCACCCAGGCGGGAGCAGTCATTCGATGATTTTCCCCCCTTAAAAAAAAAAACAAAGAAACTCACATTTATAATATTAGTGTGATTTATTATGATCAAAATAGTACAATAGTTTTATGAACCAATGCTTTATACATTGCATATTTAAAAAGGAGAGAGAAAAATACACAAAAATTATTCAAATCAAAGTAAGTAGATAAAACAGGAACATAAATGATATAAAAGCCTTAAAGACCAAGAGGTGCTAAACAATTATAAAACAATAAATACAATTTCAAAGATACAAAATAATATAATACCTTTTTTGAGCTTAGCACCACAGTAGATGCCCAATATACTTGTCTTGTCTGGAAAACAAAATTAGGTACTCGTGTTTCGTGTATGAATGTAAACATGAAGCTGGAATACAACAAAAGATATTATACCTACCTATATCTTTGAAAGGAAATCCTTTGTTATTTTAAATACATTGTCATCTGCCATCGATGGTATCAACAGAGGTTTCGTTCGCGGTGAAAGGTCATTGGAAAATTTTAGTAAATTTTCCTGTTGCTACCTACAGATATATTGTGGAATAATTTAGGCTGAATTCTTGCCACAAGACTATTATTTTTATGTTCAATGTTCATCAGCAATATATGTAATTCCCTAGGTAGATGAACATAATATTCCATTAACATTACGCTCCTGTTTCACCGAAAACGTATACATTAAACGTTGGAGGACAAAGCAAATGGATCTATTACACTAGTTTACAGTACATCTGTTGCCAAAGAAATTTTAGCTGTTGCTGACTACATATGATATGCTATTTTCAAAAATATAAGTAAAAGATTTTTATCAGCTCTAGTTTCTGAGTTCCAGCTATGTAGCTATAAAACAGAAAAAAACATGTATTTACTAAGAAAAGCTTTATTAAAAAAAATAATTAAGCATTGAGTTCTAAAAAACTTCATTTTAAAGCTCTTCTCTGATGTGTAGACTTTGGAAAATGACGTATTAGCGACCAACAATAGTCAGACATCATATTTGTATCCCAGAAACCCTGATAGCGCTCTTCCATGACACGTAAGTCCTGATGCATACGCTCTCCCTGCTCTTCGCTCATATCTCCTAAATTTTCCGGAAACCTGTCCAGGTGACTATGGACGAAATGGAGTTTTATGCTCATATTGCACCCCATATTTTTTAACTGTAGCAGAAGGTCTTCTACAAGTTCAATATAATTTTCTGATTTTTTATTTCCGAGAAAATTCTGCATCACAGAGACGAAAGCTGTCCAAGCCTTTAGTTGTAACTCAGTCATAGAATTTCTAAATTGAGTATCTTTTATAAGTTGTCTAATTTGGGGGCCGTCAAAAATACCGGCTTTTATTTTTTCCATAGTGAGCTGAGGAAATTTTTGGCAAATGTAAGAAAAGCAGTTCCCGTCTTTATCTAGTGATTTAACAAACTGTTTCATGATGCCCAGTTTTAAATGTAATGGTGGAAGGATAATTTTGTCACGAGCTACTAATGAATTCTGGACTATATTTTGCTTTCCAGGCTTCATACTTTCTCTCAAGGGCCAGTTTCTTCTTATCCAATGCTCCTGTTTAGCTCTACTGTCCCAAAGACATATGAAACAAGGAAACTTAGTGTAACCACTTTGTTGACAGAGAAGAATGTTCACCATTTTTAAATCGACACAAATTTGCCACTTATGGTCATTGTATTTTATTTTTTTCAAGACTAGCGAAATGTTACAATATTCTTCCTTTAACTGTGTACTGTGGGCAATAGGTACCCCAGCGTATTTATTTCCATTATGTAATAGAATACATTTTAGGCTACGTTTTGAGCTGTCAATGAATAAACGCCATTTAGCTCGACTTTGAGTATTTAAACCGTTTACGTTTACGCTACAAAAATAACAGTCTTCGAGATGATTTCGTGGTTCTCGCCAAATAGTCGGTGTTCCAAATTTAAAGGCACTTCTTTTACCATTTTTCCACAATCTTAAATATTCCACACACGATTTACAAACACAATTGGGAGCCCAAGACTTCTCATTTTTATCCAAGAGCCTTCCAAAATACTCAAAATAGGTATTTTTCACCAACTCTGATATAACTTTTCTACAATCGTTAAACACATATTTCCCGCATATGTCACAAAAATGAACTGGATTGTTTAAACAACGTCTCCTTGAACTACTCATGACGCAAAAACTTTGGATACTAATCTTAACACAGGAAAATATGCCTGTTATCGCTTAATATATGCGCTTAAATGACAAAAATCAAAAACAAAGTAACTCGAGCTGCTCAAAAAATTTTGAGGGTAGATTTGACGAAAACAAGTCATAAGTGAACATTATCAACCACAAAATTCGCGGCAACAAACAAAAAGTTAAATTTTGTAAACTAGTGTTATTTATCGCTAATTAATGAGTTCCTAGTAACAGTAAGTCAGTCAACGAGAGAGCCATCCAAACAACCTTCGATTAAAATAAATATCAGCGAAATATAACTCAAATAACTAGAACATATTCGCAGAAATGCTAGCAAAAAATACACACTACATATCAAGTAAAGCAAACCAGTATAAACTGGCCGTTGAATGCGCCATAGATCATATATAACAAGATCATGATAAAGTGGTTTGTTCAGCATGATGTACTCTTAATAAGTACTCGTCTTGTTATTATTGGAGCCCTTAGCAACAATGTGTTGGCATGTCAGTGTGCTGATATGCTTGTAAACTTTTGCCCTTTAAACA